AGCACATGGAAAGGAGATTATGTAAACCACACAATACTTCTTTGGTGTTCTACCTTGGATTGTACAAACAATATCCTATCAACCTGAACTAAAGTTTCTAGCTTCATCCACCTAGTTCCCTAACTTTACAACCATGCTCCTTTCTTGAACTCAGGAGCCTAGTAAGAAGACATGAGGCAGACTTGGGTCAGTCAGCTGTCCCGAAGCTTTCTGTGCCAACTCCAAACCTAGGGAGGAGGTGACAGCAGGAGGAAAAGAAACCTGATCATGACTCTCCCCCTCCCTCTAACCCCGAACAAACTAACAACTGAAAAACTAAAAGCCCAGCGTGGTCTGTGTGTCAGTCTCCTGTTTAAGCCCGATTCATCTGGACTGCACATCACTGGTGTTCAGCTGTGAGGGTCTCTCTGGGCTGACCCTGGCAGGGTTTTAACATCAACTTAGGGTCTCACCCCAGGCGTGGGGTGTCATGGGGAGGCTGACAGCTCTGGAAAGGAAAGCACTAAATACTAACACCAGCCAGGGAAGCAACATTCCTTACAAAAACGAAACGTTTTCTCTTTGTCCCCCAGGAGGTCATGGAGTGGCTACAAGTGCTTGACCTTAATCAGAAGAAGTCTTTTGGCATTCTCACTGGAAGTTATTACACCTTGAGCACTGGCAGGTGGAAGGGGATTTAAAAAGGCCAATTCAGATTTAATGTCAGAACACACAGTTCCAGGGCGAGAGACTGATCTCCTCTGGGCTGGTGTTTGTGCTGTCAGTCAAGTTGCTCTGAATTCTCCCTGCTGTCTGTGAGATTACAATTTCTTGTAAATGTTTTTAGTAATCCATCTGGCAAAACCCTATGATTTCCTGTGTCCTTCTTCGATGCTCGGAATATCCAGTTCATGACCTCTTTATTAAAAATAATGGAAATTGGAATTTCTCAGGAATAGATTTTTTTTGTTTCATGAGTGAAAACCATTAAGATTTGTATTTAATTTATGTGCTATGACCTTTTCTTGTGATCATGTCACTGCTGAATTCCAGAAATGAAATTTCTGAAAGGAGAGTTTCATGTTTAGGTCTAAAATGATTTTTATGCCCTTTTGCAGAGACAGAAATACACAAAGCCTTAGCAACTCAATAGCAAAATGTACTGTTTTCCTTCTTTTTTAGAAACTTTTAATATTGTTGGATGTATTGAAAATCTTCTGTAATTACAGGCAAATTAATTTAAATGGTTAAGTTAATTGTGTACTGAAAAAGTTTGTGTGAATTCAACAGAAAACTTCTCTGTGGGGTGAGGATATTCCTCCCTGTTTTTTAATCTCTTGGCTTTGGTGCAGGGTATCTGTTATGCAATTTTTTGACCACGGGCCATGTCCACTGTTAATATTCATACTGGGGGAAGGCTGCCAGTGTCAGTCAGCTGAAGATCTGCTGTGGTGTGTACCTGGTGTACGCAAAGTTACCAGGATGAAAAACGGGACATGGGAAGCTCGTGATTCTGTTGACCCTTTCAAAAAGGCAATTAATAGCATCCCTTAGAAATCATGAGAAATAATCAGAGGAATGTGTTACAAATCTGGTATTTAAGTTCAGACCATCATTTGTGTGTTATGCTGGTTTAGACTGAAGACTCTGGTATTAATAGCAGACTGCAGTCAAACCTTGAAGATCTACTGACTTTTCAGGGAAATCCTGAAAATGTACTGAAAAATAAATGAGATGTAAATAATTACAATAAAAAAGTCAGAACTTTGCTGGATTTGGCTTGCAACACAACAGAATGTTTTCATCCTTACCTGCTATTTTCAATGCCTTTTTTTCCCCAAAATACACTTAAGAGTTGAAACTGAACATACATATTTTCTGTTTAGAAGTAAATGTGTCTGATGTTGGTTGCTTGATGTTTGTAAATTAGAAGACTGTATAAAGGCTGTTTTTAATCAGCTGAGACTTTGTGCATTAAATTTCAGAGTGAGTTACGTATAAAATGTCCCTCTAAGGTAAACTGCTGGAAAAATGAACTTGTAGCATCGTCTGGCTGAAGAGCAGCACAGGGCAGTGCACGCTGAAGTGTTTGTGGAGCACCCACTTAAATTACACTTTGCAGAAGTGAACTTGTGAATTCAGTGGGAGGCACCTAATATGGGAGGAAATGTGTGGGAGAAGAGACGGGCTGGCTCCTGCTCCCCCAGAAGAACCAAGACCCCTGAAGACTGCAGTGCCTTCTCTCTTCACGTGTCCCAGAGACAAAGCACCTTGCAGAGGTGAAACTCATGATGAATGACCGTGAGGGACATGGGTTTAGGTGCTTGGAGTTTCTTGTGGATCATGACTGATTTGCCCCTTCTCTGGAAGTGTTCACAGCCAGGTTGGATGGGGCTTTGAGCAACCTGGTCTAGAAGGTGTCCCTGCCTATGCAGGGGGTTGTAACTAGATAATCTTAAAGGTCCCTTCCAACCTAAACTATTCTATGATTCTGTGATTCTCTGATCCTATGCTTAGGGAGCCTGGATGCTGATTGCAAGCACTAGCATCCTTATTGGGTCAAGCAGCTACTCTTAAGGATGTCTAAATTCTGAGCTTCAAATGTTACTCCCAACACTAAGTGCATGAAGAATTTTAAGGCTCTGCACAGATGTAGCCTGTGGTTAGGGAAGAGCCCTTCTAACCAAGCAGGCCATGCCGTGATTGTTCACGACAGCATATTTTGCACTTTTCTCTGAGGCATCCATTGACGGGTAGGAGGCTGATGAACTGCCTATTTGATTTTTTGGGGCACTCCCCATATTTTTATGTTTCTGAGTTGTTTCCTCACACAGTGCCACAGTAGTCAGAAAAATCCTACAGGCTTTTATCAGCTTAACAGTCAGATGTTCACAGTAATTACAGCACTCCAAGCATAAAGTATTACAGTAATTCATTTTAGTAACATGTTTATTAGGTCATAACAACAACTATAAACTTCAGTACCATTTAGCTCTTTGCAGATATATGAACTTACTAACACCAAATCTTTACCAGAATCACGTATTCTTACAGGTGTCCCAGACACAACATTAACTTTATTAAGCAAAAGTTCATAAATAGTAAAAATGTCCTCTGTTTCACATTGCAGCGTTCCTCAAGCATGTATGTACAAGTCTGGAGTATCTTCTCCAAATCTGTGTGTCATAAACTTCCTTAGCTGTTTTAACTACCATAGAGATGATTTTTTTTTGCCTGCAGCAAAGCCTTTTGTCCTTGAGCAATCTACAATTAGTATTGCTCTCAGCAGACATGAAAGTTCATTTCTGAAATGAAAGTGGTGATGAAACACTATACAATATTATCTTCTCATAGTTTGCCTACACACTCAGCTCTCATTATAAATCTTTCAGTTATAACACTGTCTCCCAAAACAATATATCTATTTTATATCAGTTCTTTATCTGCACTACCTTTCTTTGAAGATCTTAAAATGGTTGGCTTGCAGCAACTGAGATATTATACTTAGGGTGGAGTGTGTTTACAGTCAGGTCTTTTCCTTTTTAATGTCTACACAGTATTTTTTTAAGGTTGCTACAATTTATGAATCATGTACATTGACATACATTTTCTGAAATGTTCACAGTGCAGTATTTTGTGGCCTAACCAAACTTTGTAAATGTCATTAAAAATAAACTTTTTTTTTTTTTTTTAATATAAAAATAGATTACTTTAAGTGTTTACACCAACAAACCCAGTTCTATCCTATACGAAACAAGCTATACAGTAGTATGCACAGAATTCCACAGGAACAGAAATGACATGTGATGTTTGCCCTAAAGTCATAGTACTCTTCCCTAATGAATCAAAGTTTTATCTACTACCTGTTTTCAAAATTGTTTCTCTGGTCATAATTTAGAAATAGAAGTAGGTATAATAATTCATTGAGTTGTGTGATCCAAGAAGAGGCTAGAGGGGCCTAAAGCCGTTTCTTCTTTTGATCAGTCTTCTCTTCTCTTTAGGGCTGGCACAAAGAAGTTACCAACATTTCCTGCTTGGCAGTGTCTCTTTAGGTCAGGGCTGGATCAACACCTCTGCTCTTTACTCACCTTTGGCAGCAGCTCCACCCAAGGGTCGGTGGCAGAGCTTCGCGTGACTCACCAGACAGCAGCTCCACAAGGCTGCCAGCCTGCCCGTCTCCTCTTCCTCTCTAGAATAATGCCACCCATATTATTAGAACCCAGGGGTTAACCTGGCATTTCATATGGATGCCTTCAGGTTTTTATTCTCAGAGAGTGGTAAGTTATTTATTGATAGAAATGGAGGTTTTGCATTTTTTAGCAAGAGAACGGTCAATGTAGGCTGTTATTCTAAGAAGTGGCTGACCACTGGAATAAAGTTCACACTAGGAATGCTTTAAAGTGGATAATTTTACTTTCATTTTATGTACCGTCTGACTACACCAGAGGACTGGCAAGGCTGACATACCTATCTTACTGCACACTGTTTTTTTAATGTTAGTTTCTGTTACGACATTTACCAGGAGGCTGGCCCTCCTGGTGTCTATGTTTTAAGAAACCTTGCTGATCTAGTGCAAAAATCCAAAGTTTGGACTGTGCAGGAGGAAAAGACACTTTAAACTCTTGTAACTCTCATTGTTTGTCTTAGCCTTTTTTGTGAAAACCATTTCTGCATTGCTCATTATCCTAGAGAACATGCAACAGTAATAGTCCTTCCAGCTGTACTGATTGGTATTCTACTTTCTCCTTCATGGCATTAATGATGGATCTTTGTTCTTGGGTCTGAGCACACGTTAATGAGAGCCAGTGGGAACTAGCTCTGGATGGTAGCACTCAACATTTCCATTTGGTAAATTGATGCAGCTGTGATGGTTTATACAATCCCATAGGCTTAACAACACGATATCATGTTCTTGTACTAGTGCAACTTGGGCAACAACGTAAACATGTGCAACAGTGTTCTCACAAAGACCGGGCAATAAAAACTAGTGGATCAAATGTTCTGCTTTTTGTTCATACATGAGAATGGATTTTCCTCTATTTCAGACATACCCGTCATGTGTCAACATCCATGTCTGTGTTGTCTTGTGATGATAAAAGAGAAGGATAGGGAGCAACACACTTCACGTTGACATAAGTAGCATTGACATGAACATAGTGTTCTCCGATAAAGGTGGAGAAGATTGTTGATATTTTTGAAACAAGTTCAGAAAATGCTGGACGCAACTCAGGTTTTGGATGCCAGCACTTCAGCATTACTTCATACCTGCCATTCAGATAAAAGAGGTGTTCAATTATGAAATCATGTAAAAGGAAAAAAATCTAACCCTCTTTCCTCCCACAGTTTCACTATAATATCAGAATCAGCAGCATTTGCAGAAGGCTTTGGAAATATTTACTTACAGTGGGTCAGGGCAGTATTCAGGTTGTAGCAGCCTTCTTCCTTGTAATAAGTAAACAGTTATATCAAAGGAATTTACATCAGGATAAGGTGGTGCCCCTCTTGTCATAAGTTCCCATAACAACACACCGAAGGACCACTAAGAAAACAAAGAAATAAATAATAAGTGAAAGGGTAGGAGGGCTTTACATTCCAGTTTTAGAAGATGGTTTGACAGATTTAAGCATTCAAATGCATGGATTTTCCCTTTGAAAAGGTATTTTACTGCCTTCAGCTTTCTTTTAAGTAGGCTAATAAATACTGTAAGGACTTGAGGAGCCACTTAAATTAGTCAGAGAAACTCAGCTAAGTAAATGAAAGAAAATAAAAGCCTATAGGCCTGCTACTTAACTGGTATAAATTGGCAGACCTCTTTTGAGGTTAATGGACCTCTGCCAATTTACATGAGCTGATGATCTGACTAACCCTTTGTAAATACATACTGAAGAGAATATACGTGGTGAAAATTCTATGCATCACAGGCTAATTTGAATCTGGATTGAAAGGAAAGCTAAAATACAAAGTGATCTAGCCAAGTGATGACTTCATCTTATGATTTTTTCTTCATAAATGGCCAGGTAATACTTGAGGTTGCTCTAGGCAGTCAGGAAGTATTTATAAAACAAATAAAGTCTTTTTAAGAACTATTACATTTTACGAGTAGCAAAGTTAACCTGTTTTGTCAAGCTTTCCAGAGCCCCACCTGTCACAGGGTTCAGCTCTAACTTAGCTTTTTAGAATGTCCTTAGTTTCCCTTGGAGTGGCATTAAACTCCTAACTCTTGCCTGAGGTCAACAACTTGTTGCTTTGTGATTAGAACAAATACCCTTTCTGGATGTAGAAACAGTCTCTTACTCTTCTGTGAACTCAAGGTAGATTCCAATGTAAGTTTTGCTTTGGAGTTAGTCCATTAATTAAATACTAGAGAGATGCCTCAGGCAATAAAAGAGAAATTAATAGGTGATGCAAATAATATTTGTACATTACCACATCTGACTTTGTTGTGAACTTCTGAGTTTGTAAACTTTCTAAAGCCATCCATTTCACTGGCAGTTTCGCTCCAGTTTTATTGTGCACACTGTAGTATTCTTTATCATAGACATCTCTAGCAAGACCAAAATCAGCAACCTTGACAGTGAATTTTTCATCCAACCTAGAGAAATGACAAAAAGTATTACCTGCAACTGAGCAAGTGAGATTTACAGTGATGGTGGATTATAACGAGTGACTCACATTCTTGAGACCGCGACTTTGCAAGGTAGTACCTTATCTTGGGTCTATTAACTAATGTAACAGTGAAACAAAAAGTGCAGCCAAGTATATTTGACATCCAGTGAATGAACTCAGGAAATTACTGGTACTGTTTTGATAATATAATTTGAATTACGGTTCTTTTAAAACAATTTCTCTGTATAAAAAGATTTTTGCTGATAAGGTATAAACCCTGATTGAGTGCTACATCATTTCTTTCACAGCTGTTTTTTCTTCCATATCCTTAGAAACCACTAATTTTTATTTTCAAGTCAAGGCATCACCCTTCCTACTTAGTCTCAGTTTTGATAAGGAAGGACCTGTCATTATCTCAGTAACTACCCCTGAGCCTTCTCCAGGGTAAACAATTCCATCTATTTCAGCCTCTACACGTAGAATTTCCCTGTCTGGAATTTATGAGGTTTCTGTCTGGACAACCCCTCTGGTTTACTGAAGTCCCTGTGAATGGCACTGAACCATCTGATGTATTTACTGATGTAATAACTAAACCAGTATCAACAAAGGAAGTAGGAGGGAAATTTGATGGGTCAACAGGGGACAGTTTATGCCCTAGCAGCTTTCTGCACCTCTTCTAGCATAGTGGAATAGAGTCAAGAGTCCATGGGGATTGTATTTGCATCCTGTCTTCCTTTCTGGTGGACACTGCCATTGTGGCAGGGGCTGTGCTTCCAAGTGCTGGATGCACACAGCCACTAGGGAATGTGGGTCTTCAACTCTACATTTTTCTCTCATGTGGCAGCAGTTCTCCAGGCTGTGAAGTGCTGAGTGGTGCAAAAGCAGCCATTCAGTTGGCAATGGGAGACATCCTGAGAGCAGTTCACTCCTCACCCAATGAAGGGACAGTAGGCCAGAGGGAATGCTCTATTGCCACTATTTGGACTTTGATTAGATGAACCAGGACTTCTATCCAGTAACCCAATTCCTTTCTTCTTAGGAAACCTGAAAATCATGTTGCTGGTGGCTTTTTTCCTCCCTTAAAAAACCAGCAGCTGTAAGAAACATTCTTTTTCAGAGGGTGTTCAGCTGCACAAGTGTGTATCCTTTGAAAAAGAAATCTGATGTTACAGATGAATAACCTTTTTGCAGCCAGCATTCCTGATTATGATGTGCTAAAAATAAACTCTGATGTTAATGGTGTACCTCATTAATTCACAACATAGGTGATGAATCAGCATAATAGTATTGGCAACTCCTGTATCACTTAGTCTTTGTGTGAACCGTACTTAGTGTCTGGCTACCCAGACACTTGTAAGATTCTTTGCATGGTTTGATTTTTTAATGTTAATTTGTATGTGCAATTGAGCCAAAGTAAGCTCATACTCATGTAATGAAAGATTATTGTCAATAAGTCTCACTGGTGTTTCTTTGTGTTCCTGTTTTTCTCACAAAGTTGCCCTGAGTTCCTCTCCCTCCTGGTAGGTGCGGCAGCAAAGGTGAGCTGCTTCTGAAGAGTTTGGGTGGAAGCACAGCAAGTTGAGACAACAGCAGTTTAACTTCCCTTAGGAGATGCCTTTTAAATGCTCTAACCAATGATTTTGAGAAACTACACTTTCACCTCAGCTCTTATTTCCCACACTCAAAAAAAAGCTTATGTGTAAGAAGTGAGCCTGTAGCAAGCCGAGTAGCTCATCAGAATGCAAGCTGAACATCAGTATAATAATGGAACAATGAAAACAACACACTATTTTGACTGAAAAAGGAGATTCCTGGAAACTTTCATTTACCTCATCTCCCTGTGTTACACAAAAGAATGTAATAGCGTGGCTGGCATTAGATGTTCGTACTTACATACAGTTTCTTGCTGCCAAGTCTCTATGAACAAACTTTTTGCTTGCAAGGTATTTCATCCCTTTTGCGACCTGAAGGCCAAATCCAATTAAATCTTTTACTGTTGGGTTCTGTAAAATACAAACATTTGTGATACAATCAATGCAGAAACCCAAGGAACAGAACGTTTTTTTGTTTTGACTTTTAGTTTTTGACACACCTATCTTGCCACCAGAATGATCAAGACAGCTTGGTGCTTGTAGAAAAACTGATGTAAGCTCAGGTCAAGTTCTTGCCTCCAGTGAGGAAATACACTTTAAGAAATCAAACCAGCTGACAAACTCCAGAAAAGTGGAGTTCGAAGCATAAGCAGCATGATCTGGGCTGGGAAGTGGAACAGTGTGCTGAAACCTCAACATCACAGCTGATACACAAAATTCACATTTGTGAATTTAGAGTAATACCATGTAACTCTGTAGAAGGGGCTAACTAGGAATTTGGAGCTCATATGCTGGAAATTACCAAGAAAAGAGAGAGTCCTATTTGGGGCAACATAAGTGCAAGCTATCATGAATACGATGCCATGGAAAAGGCAAATGAGACCTTACCAGATACCAGAGGAAGATTTTCCAAAACAATTAGTAATTCTTTCTGCTGATCTACAAGGTGAAACCTTACTAGAAATGTTAAATTTGGAAATAAATATAAGTCTGTAATCACATGCCTTGGTCTTTGTTTCCAACATTAGACCAAATGTATAACTTATAGAATCATAGAATCATAGAATCATAGAATCTTAGGGGCTGGAAGGGACCTCGAGAGATCATCTAGTCCAACCCCCCTGCCAGAGCAGGGTCACCTAGAGTACATCACACAGGAACTCATCCAGGTGGGTTTTGAATGTCTCCAGTGAGGGAGACTCCACAACCTCCCTGGGCAGTCTGTTCCAGTGCTCTGTCACTCTTACAGTAAAAAAATTTTTTCGGATATTCACCTTGAACTTCCTATGCTCCAATTTACACCCATTACCCCTTGTCCTATCACTGGTCATCACTGAGAAAAGCCTAACTCCGTCCCCCTGACACTCACCCCTTACATATTTGTAAACATTGATGAGGTCACCCCTCAGTCTCCTTTTCTCCAAGCTAAAGAGACCCAGCTCCCTCAGCCTTTCCTCATAAGGGAGATGTTCCACTCCCCTAATCATCTTCGTAGCTCTGCGCTGGACTCTTTCGAGCAGTTCCCTGTCCTTTTTGAACTGAGGGGCCCAGAACTGGACACAATACTCCAGATGTGGCCTCACCAATGCAGAATAGAGGGGGAGGAGAACCTCTCTTGACCTACTAACCACACCCTTTCTAATGCACCCCAGGATGCCATTGGCCTTCTTGGCCACAAGGGCACATTGCTGGCTCATGGTCATCCTCCTGTCTACCAGGACCCCCAGGTCTCTTTCACCTACACTACTCTCCAGCAGTTCAGCCCCCAACCTGTACTGGGACATGGTGTTGTTCTTCCCCAAATGTAAAACTCTGCACTTCCCCTTGTTGAATTTCATCATGTTTCTCCCCGCCCAATTCTCCAACCTATCTAAGTCTCTCTGAATGGCAGCACAGCCTTCTGGTGTGTCAGCCACTCCTCCCAGCTTAGTGTCATCAGCAAACTTGCTGAGGGTACATTCTATACCCTCATCCAGGTCGTTGATGAAGATGTTGAACAACACCGGTCCCAGTACCGACCCCTGTGGGACTCCACTAGTCACACACCTCCAACCAGATTCTGACCCATTGACTACAACTCTCTGACTCCTTCCTTTCAACCAGTTCCTAATCCACCTCACTACCTGATCACCAAACCCATACCTGATCAACTTATCTACAAGGATGCTGTGGGAGACGGTGTCAAATGCTTTACTGAATTATTTTATTTTATCCAAGTAATTATTTTATCCAATGTCATGACTTCTTCTGTAATAGTATGGTCCAACAGATTTTTGTTTTCTGTTGTTGCCATTGCTTCATATAATGTTCTTCTGTGGAACAATCCCATTCAACTGTGGCGTTTAGTCTATTTATTTCAGGAAGGACCATGGCACTACTCACAGACAAGGTCCCTGATGCTTGTAGAACGAAAGAAGCTCAAAAAAGGCCCCTACCTCAGAAAGCTAAACTCCCCCAACAATTTTCCAAGATGCTTTTTTTTTTTTTTAAATTTTACTCTTTATTGTTGATTGCCATATAGGCAGAGGTGAAATACCTTTGGCTCCAAGTCAATGTATATTGTCCTAGCACTGTGAAATGGGTGAAATACTACAATATAAAGTGGGCTTACACTACCTGAAGCAAGACCTGTGGTCTCATACTTGAGAGAAAGCAGTGAGGCACATTAGAGAAATCTGCAGTCTTTCATTGAAAATTGGGAAAATCTCTGATATGACAGAAGTCATAGTTTGTATAAAAATTGCTTGTTTTCTCTCTTAAGGTAAGAAGAAAAAATATTGATAATAACAGGACTGTGACACTCTCTAGCTGGACATGAAGATCCCATGCTGAGAGTTGTAAGAGCAGATGCTGACAACTGGCACAGCTGTGTGCTGAAGTCAACAGAGATATGCCAGTTTAAACCAGCAGATGGTTGGGCCCCTTGACTTAGATCTCATAAACACATTTGTTTATAAAGAGGCTTATGGATGGGAAATGAGAAATACTTATTGCTGATAATTTCTGGGAAACATTCTAGAGAGGAATTTGAGGGGGAAGGGAAGGAGTGGTAATGCTGTGGGTGGGCTTGATGCCAGCCTAAGCAAGTGCTAAAGGTTAAGGTGTAGTAACAGCAGCAAGTTACAGACATAATGTAATTATCAGAGCTCATAACCTGTGGTGCTGGAGCAGGGCGTGGCAAGACTTGCATTACTGTTTTGTGAACCTCACCGTGTACTTACATGAGTCTCATTCCTAATGAAGTTTCGAAGATCTCCGTGTTTCATGTATGGAAGAACGACTAAGGGGGACCCTTCATTGGGCAAACAGATTCCCAGGAGTGACAGAACATTGGGATGAGTGAAATCTTTCATGATTATTCCTTCTTTCAGAAACTGAGCTACTTCCTCCAGGTCTGTAATCCCTGAGAAATTCAGTAATAAAATGAATGAATTAAAAAAACAAACAAACCCCAAACAAATTACAGTTAATTTCTGTCCAGCATGTCATTGTGCAACAAAGTGATGAGAGGCTACAGACATGCTACCCACCTCCCACATTACAACTAGGTTATGTGTGTCTGTTTTCTTGCAATTACCAGATATGGTTTGTTGGTGATTTTAATTCCATTTCTCCTTTTCTTATTATGAACGATTTAGAATTGAATAACAACACTTGAATAAAGCCTTTAATAAATGTTGTTATAGTTTCTTCCTGTTTTTCCAGCAGCTTTGCCTGCTCTGTAGCAATTTAACTTCCAAAGCTAAATCTTCAGTAGTCAGTGGAATAAAAAATGACACTGCCTGTCACTCATTTTCCTCTGCCCTTTGTACAGGAAATACACACACATTTCATTTGATGCACAAATATATACCAATATCTTGTAGTAATCCAAAGTCATTGGAATTCCTCCAGAGATAAATCTGATCCAGTTGCAACTAAGAATCTTTATTTGTGAAAGTGCATTTCATTGTAATTTATTAGTTCACCCTGGTTATCTTTGGAATTGTGGTAATTTCTCACTATTAAATATGTAACTCACTATTCAGTGACTTCACGGCACAATGAATTTTCCTGCCATCATTATCCAGCAATGTCCCATGGTACACACACCCAAAATGTCCTGTGAAAATAAATGAGAAAGATTAGCTTTAAGAAGTAAAATGAGCTTTCTGGTATTTTCCACTGGGTAGCAATGATGCTTTAAGAAAGTGATCACACTTCATTTCTGTCCAATTCCCAACACTTGTAATATACTTCATAACTAACACATAAAGCTATCATTACATAAAACCATCATTACATAAATTGAAAACTCTATTTGCAGCCTAATTGATATTTCTTGACCTAGATGGAGAGTATAAATAACGGCAAGACTGGCGCCATAACTGCTTCATATTCTTGTAATGACTACACACACAAAAAGCATGTCAGGCCATTCCCACCGTACTGTCCTGTTGGATATATGTCAGAGAAGGGCACTGGAAAGCACAGGGAAGAAGTCAGGAAGACCTGACATGACCACTGGAGCAGTAGTTCCTAGTGGTCTGCAAGCCCACTGGCTTTTACATTCTTGATGCCTCTTCAGGGTCACTGTGGGCTTACGGTCTCTCAGGGCTTGCTATTCCATGGAAAATGCTAAGTGTTAAAAGTGGTGAGTTGGCCACAAACAGTTTGGGAGTTACTGTCTCAGTCACAGACTGACTGCATCACCAGGCAGCAGCCTATGGTCTCTGCTATGGCTCAGTTCCTAGTGCAAAATATCACTAGAAGATGAGAGAAATTTGCCTCCTAGCTGATGGTCTACACAATGAAACAAACTGCCAGGGACACAGAAATCCTTCCTGATCCTGTGCTTTCCTATCAAGCAAATGGGGCAGCCTGCAAAGCAGGGAAACCTACTATGAGAAGTCAGCTTGACCTATTTGGGACACACAGAGAACTTTGAGCTCCAGGCACTAATTTACTGCATGTAATGGTGGCTTTCCTTCATGGACATGCTATTAACTGGACACTTTAAAAGTATTAATATTTGCAGTTAGAAAGCAACATAGTTTGGTTTTTTTTTTGTTTTGTTTTTTTTTGGTTTTTTTTTTGTTTTGTTTTTTTTTGGTTTTTTTTTTGTTTTGTTTTTTTTTGGTTTTTTTTTTGTTTTGTTTTTTTTTGGTTTTTTTTTTGTTTTGTTTTTTTTTGGTTTTTTTTTTGTTGTTTTTTTTTTGTTTTTTTTAACTGTGAGTTCTGCAGACAACAAGACTATCTGATTAATTCTACTAGGTTCCAGTCATAAGTGCTGGTCAGAGCCCAGTTGGCTTTGCTTTTGGCTTGGGGTAAAATTAATACAAAGTTTGTTTTATAAAAGCAACTAAAATCCCATCAGACCACAGATTGTTTGGAGCCTGGGCACACATCCTAAAGCTTGGATAGGGTGTGTCTGAAATATCTTGGATTTGTCTCATTTCTACTTATGGAGGAGAAAATTATTAAGGTTAATTATATTGGTGTCATTCCTGATATTTTTCAGCATTTAAAAAATGGGAAATTACTTAGCTTTTTCTGAAACAAGAAAAAAAGAAAAAGGCCCACCCTTGCTTTGGGGATAAAGTGTAATACATGGAAGGGAAGCACACTGACTGTTCCTTTGATTTGTAGCTATTTTCCTGTAGAAGAGGCTTTAGGAATATCATTTATAGCCAAGTTTTTATCAGTATTCTGATACTCAACAAGAAACCACTCATGCATGGTCTATTTCTGCTTGGTTACTAACAGGTACTCACTAGTACAGATTTCAATAAATGCCTCCAACAGGAATACTGGCTTGGGCTATGAAAGCAAGAGGGAACCTACTTAAGGAGACATAGAGGAATAGGGGTGATGAAAGAAAGAGAAACAGGGAACTCACAATATCAAGGACAAAAATACAGGGAAGTGAATCAGCAACTATGCATTCCT